TTACAATTGTGTTGCTAGGAAGAATTAGAATCTATTTCTAAACAATTACTACTTAAACACAATAGGCTTTTGCACCGCAATAAATTTAAAGTAAATCTTTAAGTAAATTTGCATGTGGTTTAATTGAGACCTGGAGATTAGACGTTCGTATATAAATTGGTCGTGAATAGTGGATGTTGGTACAGTTTCTCAGCATCCTGAACAACATGAAGGTAATCATCTTTGCTCTTGCCGCCGTTTTGGCTCTGGTCGTTGCAGAAGATTGCCCTTGCACCTATGAGTATAATCCAGTGTGCGGAAGCAACGGACTGACGTACTCCAACCCGTGCCAGCTGAGATGCGCCCAGCAGACCTACGCCGACCTCAGATTCTTCTACCCTGGTAACTGTGGAACACCCAACTTCGATTGCCCATGCACAAGAGAATTCAGACCGGTGTGCGGCACCAACGGTTTCACCTACAACAACCCGTGCCTCTTCAGATGCGCCAAGGAAACCTTCGATTCCATCGAAATCGCATACGAAGGATTTTGCGGAAACCCAGTGGAAACCAGGATCTTGGACTGTCCTTGCACCAGGGAATACCGTCCGGTTTGCGCTACAAACGGAGTCACCTACGCCAACCCTTGCCTCTTCAGATGCGCCAAGAAGACCTTCGAGTCATCGAGATCGCTTACAGCGGAGAGTGTGGAAACCCGAGGGAAACCAGGAACTTGGACTGTCCTTGCACCAAGGAATTCGATCCGGTTTGCGCTACGAACGGAGTCACCTACGCCAACCCTTGCCTCTTCAGATGCGCCAAGAAAACCTTCCAGTCCATCGAGATCGCTTACAGCGGAGAGTGTGGAAACCCGAGGGAAACCAGGAATCTTGGACTGTCCTTGCACCAAGGGAATACGATCCGGTTTGCGCTAACGAACGGAGTCACCTATGCCAACCCTTGCCTCTTCAGATGCGCCAAGAAAACCTTCGAGTTCATCGAGATCGCTTACAGCGGAGAGTGTGGAAACCCGAGAGGAAACCGGAACATTAGGACTGTCCTTGCACCAGGAATATCGATCCGGTTTGCGCACAAACGGAGTCACCTACGCCAACCCTTGCCTCTTCAGATGCGCCAAGAAACCTTCCAGTTCATCGAGATCGCTTACAGCGGTGAGTGTGGAAACCCGAGGGAAACCAGGAACTTGGACTGTCCTTGCACCAGGGAATACCGTCCGGTTTGCGCTACAAACGGAGTCACCTACGCCAACCCATGTCTCTTCAGATGCGCCAAGAAGACCTTCGAGTTCATTGAGATCGCTTACAGCGGAGAGTGCGGAAACCCGAGGGAAACCAGGACTTTGGACTGTCCTTGTACCAAGGAATACGATCCGGTTTGCGCAACGAACGGAGTCACCTATGCCAACCCTTGCCTCTTCAGATGCGCCAAGAAAACCTTCCAGTCCATCGAGATCGCTTACAGCGGAGAGTGCTGAATCCCAAGCAAATTTGCTAATAAGTAAACTAAATTATAGATGAAATAAATTAAACATTACATTACCGATATCTATTGTATTTTTTTCCCTACATAATAACCTTAATCAAGTATATCCTGATTAGTAGTACATAACTTATGACGAGATGGCGCTGCAATCAAAATTCGTTATTTTTGTTTGCAATTAATTAATAATTTACCTACATTAATAATTTACCTACGATTTTTCAATAAAATCCCTTATTTTTACTTTATTTAATGAATAATATAATAAATCTATAAAATCCTTAAAACTATCTATGACAATATTAAATATGATAATAATCAAATTAATAAACTTTCCTCATTACACCAACAGATTGCTCCACAATAGAACCAGTTTTACCAAATAAATGTAGTGAATTGAGATTATTTTTTTTTTTTACAAGAATTGCTATGATCAAAAGATGTCGTTTTGAATGATAATAATACGAAAACAATAAGAATTAATCTGAAAGTAAATTTTGAAATTGGATTTCTGTTGTTTTCTAAATATAAAAATGCATTGTACAATAGATTTGAGTTATATTTTGTATCAATTCAATTGTATATTATAAAAAAGTGACAGTGTAACGCTTCTTTTATGACACTAAATTCTGGTGGCACAAATATTTGTCTACAAACTTAATGCAATTTCGTAATAACTATAAAATTATTATCTTTTTGTTGCTTTAACTCAACTCTTTCGAATGGATTATATTGATAAATATATTAATTGAATTGAAAGAAAAAAATAATGGAAGTTTTGTAAGAATTCTTTTTGATTTGACATGTTATTTATAGATCAAAACAATAGGTATTATATTACAATGAGTGTTATTAATCTCTACGTTAATTTGCATAAGGTTTTAGTTGATATTTTGAAAGAGAATTTTCGAATATAAATAGCTCTTGAAAAGTGGATGTTGGTACAGTTTCTCAGCATCCTGAACAACATGAAGATCATCATCTTTGCTCTTGTCTCCGTTTTGGCCCTGGCCGTTGCCGACGACTGCATCTGCACCAAAGAATACAATCCTGTGTGTGCTTCGGATGGAGTTACCTACGGCAATGAGTGTCTCTTCAGATGCGCCCAGAGAGTCTGGGAATTCCTCAAGATCATCTATAGAGGCATATGCGGAGGGAAGAGAGAATGTCCATGCCCATTTATACTCTACCCAGTCTGCGGCAGCAACGGTGTGACCTACGCTAATGAATGTCTACTGAATTGCGAAAAGAAATATGACGCAACACTTTACTTAGCCTACTTTGGAGAATGCTTATAAGTAACCCGAAATTATAGATGAAATAAAATAAACATTGCATTATAAATTCTCTTTATATTTCTTCCTATCGTGACCTTATCAAATGTGTACAAATATTTCCTGATTAGTTCATAACTTATAGCGAGATGGCGCTGCAATCTAAATTCGTTATTTTGTAAATTAAAATACAGTGAAAAGATGCAAAAGTCTCTACTTCTTGTTTACCCTTCGCTCCAGAAACACATCGCTAAGTCTATAGCAGCAATTGTTGAGTGAAGAACAAGATAAACGGAGAAAAGAAAATGAAGTAAATTAGCTACTAAAAATATAAAATTCCTATAATCCAAACGGATGAATTAACAAATATTAATTGAAATTTTTTATAATTATAGTTAACTCAATAATAATTGTCTGTTTTTCAACAATTTCCCTTTAATCTTATTAAGTTTATCCTCTTTCAAAAATTAGAAATTTTATAATCTACGAACTGGACAAAATCGAAACACTTTTTGATGTCATCGTCAAGATTACGTCTATAAACTTTGTTTGTAATTAATGAAGTTTTAAACATCATTAATTCGAATCACTAAATTTTACCTTAAGATTTTTCTATTTATTTTTTTTTAAATTATTATTGGATAGGTTTGACTGCATGATTGTTTGTTGAGGATTTTAACGATTTACGATTCTATTATTAACTATATTACTTTACTTATGAAACAACAATAAGAATTAATCTGAATGTAAATTTTGAAATTAGTAAAACTAAAAATGCATGCAGACAATGGATTTAAGTAACTAAGCCATATATTTGTCTACAGAGGTAATTGTGTTGCTTTAACTCAACTATTTCATATACATTTTATTAATAACTTTTTAAATAAAATAGATTGTTCATGTTATTTATAGTTCAACACAATAGGTTTTCTACTACAATGAGTGTAATTAATCCTTTGGTAAATTTGCATATGGTTTAAGTTGATGATTCGGAAGAAAATTCTCGGATATAAATAGGTATGGAATAGTGGATTTTGGTACAGTTTCTCAACATCCTGAACAACATGAAGATCATCATCTTTACTCTGGCCTCCGTTTTGGCTTTGGTCGCAGCCGAAGATTGCATTTGCACCAGAGAGTTCACTCCTGTGTGCGGAAGCAACGGAAAAACATACTCCAATCCTTGTCTGCTGAAATGCGCCCAGAAGAGCGACGAAGCCCTAGAATTCGTGTACCCAGGAACCTGCGAAGAACCCACATTCCAGTGTGAATGCACATTGGAGTACAGACCGGTGTGCGGCACCAACGGTTACAGTTACGCCAACCCTTGCCTCTTCAGATGCGCCACAGAACTGTTCGATTCCGTCGAAATTGCATACAACGGAGAATGCGGAAACCCGACCGAACCCTTCCACTGCGTTTGCCCGTTGATCTACAATCCAGTCTGCGCTAGCGACGGAGTGACTTACGAAAGTCCGTGTCGCTTCGAATGCGCCCAGCAGCTCGATGCGGCCCTGACCTTTGTCAGATATGGAATTTGTTAATTAAGAAAAGAAAAAACCCAAATTGTACACGAAACATGCAATAACGAAATGTAAATCGATGGAATAAATGTTATAAAATTGTATTAATTATGTTTTTATCAAAAAAAAAATTGAAAAATTTACCCAATATATATATATACATATTATCCAATTAAAACAAATTTTAACTTACCTTAAGACGGATTAACTCTTGGATTCTCCAGCAAAATGCGTCGATCTGCAACAAAAACAAAATATTGTTTAGTCAAAATTTATAAAAAATCTTAAGAACAAAACATCAAATTTCAATAATTGAACGATATTTGGTGATCTTTGATCAATTTAGTACATTTTTCATATTGTTTTTTGATCAACTTTAACAAGTTATACCAGACGACACGCTCAAACCACAAATCTAGCATAAACTTATCTTTAATTTACATAACGAATGATTTAATTACTATTCGTGATTATTGAGTAATCAAATAAAAAACGAAGACATGAAACTAATCGAAATTCGCCAATAATTAACGTTGTAGAAGTAAAACAAATAATTTGAGTAGACATTCTAATTCCTGCTAAGAGATGGCGATAGCAAAACTTTTTGTTTACGTAAACGGTTTTTCAAATGAAAGACGAAGACATGAAACTAATCGAAAAATCGTCAATAATTAACGTTGCAGAACTAAAACAAATAATATTAATAGAAATTCTAATTCTTGCTAAGAGATGGCGCTAGCAAAACTTTTCGCTTACGTGAATGAAAGACGAAGACATGAAACTGATCGAAAAATCGCCAATAATTAACGTTGCATGAAAGCATCTATATTTGAAGACGCGCAATAGAAGTAAAACAAATAAGTTGAATAGAAATTTTAATTCCTGCTAAGAGATGGCGTTAGCAAAACTTGTATAGAGATTACGGCGTTTACGTAATCTCTATACAATTGCGGAATCTATTTACATAAAGTGAGTATATAAAGTGTTGGACAATTATGTTGGAGCGTTCAGAAACAAACATGAATTTCAAGTTGGTCGCAATCCTCGCGTTTCTGGCTTCGGCCTCCGCATTCTTCCCGTGTCAGTGTCCGTTCGAGCACAACCCGGTCTGCGGTTCTGACGGTAAAAGTTATGCGAGCAAGTGCGTCTTGAATTGCGCTTCGAGGAAGAGCGACGGTCTGACTTTAGCTTACGAAAGCGTCTGCACGGACAACGTCGATTCTGTGATCTGCATCTGTCCAAATGTCTTCGCTCCAGTTTGCGGTTCCGATGGTAAAAACTACTTGAACGCCTGTCAATTGAAGTGCAACGTCTTGGAACATCCAGACTTGACGGCCGTCTCAAGAGGAAAATGTTAAATAATGATAACCGTAAATGCGTTGTAATTATTATTGATTATGAAGAAATGGCAATGTTAATGAAATAAACGTTCTAATTTGAAGTTTTCGTTCATCGTTGATAACTCTTTTTTTTTGATAACTTTGATAACCTATTTATTTAAAAATAAAACAAACATGGAAAGATTGCATTATGCAACTGAACATATTTGTATGTATGCTAAAGTTTGGATTGAAATTGTTATTGATCTTATTTGGGAATAAAATTAGCTTTCATTAATTTGATTATTCAAATTTTCCAGTATGAACAAATATGCAACTGCATATTCTACTGAGAAATGGGAAATTGAATTTACATAACTTTATTGATATAATTACTGTTACTTATTCAAATTATTATTGATTAACCTATAAGTGCGTTGTATACGCGTTAACTGTCAATGAATCTGACATTTGACACTTATTTTTTTGATGACAGTAGTAGATCGCGCCATCTACAAATCAGTCATGAACTTCTGCAAGTTTTCTCATTGTTGTATTAAGAGGCAGTAGAAGAAGTGTGGAGTAATAATAATATCAATACATATTATCAATAAATTGCAAATTAAATGTACTTTCAAAAGCAATTGACAGAACTTGTCAAATAACAACAGATGTTTGCTTGGATCTATCAAGAAAACTAAATTGATTGTAAATCTGCATTGCATTCATCTTCGTAGAATACAAACAAAGAGATGTCCTTCCTCTGTTCGCATTCGAATTCGCACAAGTTGGCGTGGTTCGAATCGCAAACTGGCTTGTAGATGTCAGGACATTTGCAGATCTCTGTTGCCATAGTAACGGAGAAGATAGCGAAAAGGATTGCTACTTTCAAAAACCAAAAACATTGGATTCTGTAAGATTGCTCGACGAACAATAGGATCATCCGGATGTTTGCGAATCAGCTTACTATTGTTACACGTTACCATGGAGAAAAACAAAGAGAACACAAAGCTAAATTCGATCATAAAATTGCATCACTTATATTATAATATACTATTTACTTTCCATAGCGAAATTTTATTTTCTAAATAGGAATAGTACGTTGATATTAAATTGGAAGGTGTCAATTCTAAAACTTATAAGTTAAAAGTGACATAGACATAACAGGATAAAAATGGCGGTCAATCAAAATGGTAACGCTTCTTTTATGACGACTTACAAAAGCTTTGACAAGCTTTGAACTCATCGATTTGAGTTGCAATTGCAAATTAGTTAACTTTACATTTAAAAATACGTTTATATATCGATATAATTTGGGTAATGAAAATTTACGTAAGATTTAAATGTAAAGTCTTTAAAGACAATTCAATTAGTCAATTAATTTTAATCAAAGGAAGATTATGATATAAAAGGAGAGTCAAACTTATGAACTAGTCACAATAAGAGATGAAGGGTATTTTGATCGTTGTTTTGGATGCGGCATTTGGCGCTTAAGCTGGATACGTCCCAGTTTGTCCGTCGATCTATTCCCTAATTTAATTCAGTTTTCGAAGAGTAGATCACGCCATCTACAAATCAATTATGAATTTCTGCAAGTTTTCTCATAATTGCGTTAGAGTCAATAGAAAAATTAGAGAGTAATACAAATATTAATGCATATCATCAATAATTTCATCATCAGGTCCGAGTCGCAAACAGGATCATAGTTGTCAGGACAATTGAAAATCTCCGCTGCCATGGTAACGGAGAAGATAACGAAAGAGACTGCTACGATGGACTTCATTTGTAAGTGATTCGAATACTGCAGTTTCCATTTATCAGCTTATATATACTTTGAAGAACAATGGATTCTGAAAGATTGCAAATATTGTTCGACAAATAATGGAATTATCTGGATGTTTACTATGGGATTAAGCGAATCAGCTTACTATTGTTATACGTTGCCATGGAGAAAAACAAAGAGAACACAAATCTAAATTAGGGAGTAATAAATGCATATCATCAATAAATTGTAAATTAATGATATTTTAACGTTTCGATATACGAAACAACAAATAACTATCAGATTGAATGCAATATTTATTGAATAAATTCGAAGATTTTGATAAACTAAGCGATTTTTAATGAAGGATTCAAGCGTTTGGCGCATTCGAACATGCACATGTTGCCGTAACGGGTGCCGTTGGTGTCCCAGACCGGATCGTACAGCATGATGCAGATGCAGTTGTCTTCGGGGACGCATTCACCTGCATGCAATAACTCCAAAGAAGCGTCCTTCCTCTGTTCGCATTCGAAATCGCACAAGTTGGCGTGGGTCGTCAGATCCGAATCGCAAACTGGCTCGTAAATGTCAGGACACTTGCAGATCTCCGTTGCCATGGCAACGGAGAAGATAGCGAAGAGGACTGCTACGATGAACTTCATTGTAACTGATTCGAATACTGCAGTTTCCATTTACCAGCCTATATATAGTTTGAAGAACAATGGATTCGGAAAGGTTGCAAAATTGCTCGATGAACAATGGTTTTATGTGGATATATGCTATGGGATTAAGCGAATCCTCTTACTGTAGCCATCATTTTTTAACTATTATGATATCTAAAGGATTTTCTTTAAGTTTGCATAGCGAAATTTGATTTTCTAAATAAGATTTTCTAATAAAAAGCACTTTGAGATCAAATTGAAAGGTGTAAATTCTAAAACCTATAAGTTAAAAGTGACATAACCTTGCCAGAATAAAAAATGGTAACGCTTCTTTTATGACAATTCACTACAAAAAAACTGAAAGAATATGCACGTATACTCGATATTTAAGTGTAATAATTTAATTAGAAAATTAATTAACATTGAGATGAATTCAAATATTAGTTTAACAATGCAAGCATCGTTATCTTAATCAAATAGGATTATACGAATTATTTATTTCCAAAGGAAGAAACAACAATATAAAAGGAGAGTGGAAATGATGAAGCAGTCATAATCGAAAATGAAGTGTATTTTAATCGTTGTTTTGGCTGCGTCGATCGGCGCTCAAGCTGTAGACGACCCAATTTGTCCGTTAAGATATTCCCCGATTTGCGCTTCAGATGGAATTACTTACGGCAACCAATGCTCATTCGACTATGCTGTGCAAAAGGACAGCACTTTAACGATTTTGTTCCGAGGAACGTGCGAATACACCCATTGGGATGAGATCGCCTGCAATCTCACCGAAAACCGCGTCGAGGTTTGCGGCTCGGATGGAGTTAGCTACAAAAACCAATGCTTATTCAACTTTGCCGTCAAAAGGAATCCGAGTCTGAGGAAGAGACATGATGGTAAATGCGAAGATTCAGTCAAATCCGCACGTAACGGCCCGATGGTGTGCGGAACCGATGGAAAACTGTACGATCCGTCCAATTTCCTTGCCCAGCAATCCGTCAGACCACAGTTGGGAGAGTGGCCGATGAATTTCTGCGTTCGCAGACCAGGTGAACCCATGGGACCGTCTCCACGCTACGAGACTCCAACTGTCTGCGGATCTGATCTGTTGGTCTACTTTGAACCGGATTTTATTGCACAGCAAGCGATCAGGTCGAATCTTCATAGTTTACCTTTGAGCGATTGCTACTTCAAACCGTTCTTCCAACAATAAACTCCATTCAGCATTGATTTTGCAACAGAAATAAAAACTAGATTGTACAAAACATATTCGCATTTTTCTTTAACTTAAGACATCATATCATCATTTGAAAGCTAGAAGATCTTCAATCACAATCGCTTTTTTGTGAGTAACAACAATTTGAAGATATTCCAATAGTTCTTGTAAGATCATTGACAAATTATGAAATGGATCCTTCCATATCCTTAACACTTATTACTTCGCATCAGAAACTAAACCACTAAGTAGTAGCGTGTTTTAGTAACTATAGAACTCTCGTCAAAGCTTGATCAAAAGATTCATAAACTCAAAGTGATATCTTCGCCTGAAAATCACTAGTATTTTGTGATGAGATCTTATTGAAATGAATTTAGTAGGTTCATGTTATAAAACTGATAAATCAAAATAGACATAACCTTAACAGAAAAAAATGGCGTTGAATTTAAATAATAACGTTACTTCTATGACAACGTGCAAAAATTGTATTTGCTTAATCTCATCTCAAATATAATTTCATTTTTTTTTATCATTGTTTGTTCAAGAGTTAATTTTACTTTTTAAAGTTTATGATAAGAGCTTATTAACATGAAATTTGAAGGTTTAAATTAGAAAATGGATAAATTGAAATGGACATAACCTTAACAGGAAATAAATGGCGTTGAATCTAAATCGTAACGTTACTTCTATGACAACGTGCAAAAATTGTATTTGCTTAATATACATCTCTAACATACTTTCATTTTCTTTCATTGTTTGTTCAAGAGTTAATTTTACTTTTTGAAAGTTTATGATAAGAGCTTATTAACATGAAATTTGAAGGTTTAAATTAGAAAATGGATAAATTGAAATGGACATAACCTTAACAGGAAATAAATGGCGTTGAATCTAAATCGTAACGCTTCTTTTATGACAACGTGCAAAAATTTGTATTTACCTCGAATTGAACAATTATTGTAATGATCTTGAACTACCATTTACTTAACATTTAGATAATTTAGAAGATCACGTGTACTTAAGATTTTTTTATGTTAATGGTATTCAATAGAATATAACGATTGTCAAAGATTAGAGAACAATTGAAAAGATTAGTGCAACAATACCGGTATTGTCTTCTTGAGCAAATAAGATGATTCGATTTTTGTTTCATTTTTCACAAGAATTGATATAAAAGCAGTGATAAACTGATGGAATAATCACAATCTAAAATGAAGTGCATTTTGATCATAGCTTTGGTCGTAGCGTCGATCGTCGCTCAACCTGATACAGACTATGAAGAAGACTATCCGATTTGCGGTTCCGATGGAAATACATACGGTAATCAATATGAATTCTACTATGCATATCAAGAAGACTCCAGCTTAACTATACAATTCTACGGAACGTGCGAGTACTCCGTATGGGACGATTACATCTGCAGAGACTCTCCAACGCATTGGAAATGTGGCTCGGATGGAACCAACTACGAGAACGATTGCCTCTTCGACTTTGCCTTGAAAAGGAATCCGAAATTGATGAAGAGATTCAGTGGATCGTGCAGATCGCCGAACGATACGAGTGTTGCGTGCGGCACCGATACTAAAATCTACTCTGGTTCACTTTTTCTTGCCGAACAATCCGTCCGACCTCAGCTTGGAGAATGGCCGTTGGTTTACTGTACGAGTTTGGAACCGCCGGGCCCTGGATCCTATAGCCCATTCACTCCTCCTCCTATCATTCCTCTTCGCGAGATCAAAACTGTCTGCGGAAACGATTTATTGATCTACTTTGAAGAGACTTTCATTGCACAGCAAAAGATCAGGCCAGAACTGAAAGAATTACCGTTGAGGAATTGCTACTACAAACCTTACTTCTAAAACGAAATCAGTACATGACCAAATACTAAATAAATGAATAAAACCAAACCTATTTGCATTTTTTCTTTAAAAACATCGCAATACGCAATTCAATCAATTTAGAGTATTCCTTCGGAATTTAACACGTGCTTCATGCATTTAGCTGATAATCGGATTATGTTGGAAATCGTGCTAAAATAAAAAGCATCGAGTTTACCATGGAAATAGACACAATACGTACGAAACATAAGACAAACATTAAATCAAACTAGAAATTTGAAAATCTTTCTTCAATCATAATCGATTTTTGTCAGTAAGAACAATTTGAAGATATTCCTGTAGTTCTTGTAAGATGATTGACATTCACATTGATCCTTTCTTCCTCATCTATTTAACAAAAACATCCACATCCTTAACACTTCCCGGAGGAAGAAATTCGACGTAACTACAAGAAATTAAACCGCGTATTGTCGAAACTAAATTGGCACCTTTATAGATTGATAAATGAATATGGACATAACCTTAAGAGAAAAAAAATGTCGGTGAATTGGAATGACAACTTCTACTATGACAACTACTACTATGGCAACGTTCAAAAAATGTATTTGTTTTAATCTCCATCTCCAACATACTTTAATTGCCATAGTCGCTGATATTAAGTCGGCTTTTGTAAATAAATCGATATTTTTCATTAGTTTAAGAGTTAATTACCAGAAATTGGTGATAACGCTACTTTTATGACAACGTGCAAACATTGGTATTAACCTTGAACTTATCAATTATTGTTTGAAATTGTAATGATTATGAGCTGTCATTTACTTAACATTTAGTAATTTTAGTAAGTTCACGTGTACTTATGTTTTTTTATGTTAAAATTGTTGAAGAGAAAATAACGATTGTCATTGAGAACAATTGAAAAGATTAGTGCAACAATACCGGTATTGTCTTCATGTGCAAATAAGATGCGAGTAATTGTTTATTTTTTTACAAGAATCAGTATAAAAGAAGTGATAAACTGATGGATTAATCACAATCAAAAATGAAGTGCATTTTGATGGTAGCTTTGGTCGTAG